CTGAGAACAGGGAAGACTTTAACTGAAGAAAATTCCTAGGAGCCTTCCAAATTCAAGTCTTCCTGGAGTTTCTGAGTTCACTGACTCCATTGAAGGGTAAAAAGAGTGCCAACTTGATATGCCTTCACTGACTTTTCATTATGATGAAAAGTCATCATAATGTCATCTGCAAGCAGTTTTGTTCTTAAATTTTTAGTTGAATGAAGAGTCTGAGCCTTCAAGGCTTTTTAATTTTATTGGGGGATGGTGGCCACATGCACAAATTTGTGCCTAATTTTTGGTTACTTAGTTCATCTGTCCCTCTATCTAAAAGTGTGTATGTGAAGTCACTTGCTCATTTTACCAGGGTAAATACTCCTAAAGTGCCAATAAATGAGTTGCTGATTAACTCCTTGACCCATGAGGCTTCACAGGGAGAGCCGGACTGTCTCCCATCCTCCAAGCACCTGCTGGGAGCTAAAGCCTTAGAGGGCAATAGAAACAGACAAGATTCAAAGGAATGGGGTGGCACACCAGGTTAGTTCATTAGGGCCCAGGAGCAGACAGCAGCCAAAGTCATTACAGAACTTACTGCAGGAGGTGCTGGTTCAGAAGAGTTGGGGGTGGGGGGAACCTGGACAGGGTTAGCATGCTTTCCTGGGAAAGGTTTGGTTCCCTTGGAGAATCTGGGTCAGTGTATTTATGCAGCATTTTTTGTCTTTTGTAAAATAATGTTATGTCTGCATGCATGTAAGTGCACCTGTGCCATGCAATGCCTGAGGAGGACAGAAGAGGGCATCGGATCTTCTGGAACTGGTGTGACTCACGGTTGTTAGTCACCATGTAGGTGCTGTGATTCAAATTTGGATCTTCTGCAAGAACAGCCAGTACTCTTAACCACTGAGCCATCTCTCTAGCCCCCTTTTTTAAGCCAGAGACTGAGGAGCCATTTAAGAAGCTTGAGTAATTTATTGGGGGCATAGGAGAGAGGAAGGTCACTCCACAGCCTCATCACCTTTTACCAAGAAGATTTCAAACACACAGGAAAAACCCCACCTTTTCAAAAGCAACCAACAATTTTCTGTCACCGGCACTTTTCCATCTGTTTAGAATAGGAAAGTCCTGTCCCATTGGCCCAGGGTTGAAGGGCAACAAAGGAGGCATTGTTCATCATTCCTTCTGAACACAATAGGTCACAATCCATTCTGCATCATGTTCACTGGCAGGCATACTAGCCCAAGGGGAAAAAGCAAGACTGAATAAAGCAAGCTTGCCCTAGGTAAAAGCCTGACTGCACACTGGCAGGCTGTCCTGGAAGGTAGAGTTGGGGCTTAGAAGGTTTGGTCAGAGCCATAGTGATTCCCCAGTTGGAACACAATGGTGGGGTAACAGAGAACACTGCACCCCAAGGTTTCTTCAAGGTCGGTGGAGTGTGCAGTTGGTAACCAGGTGAGCTGAACCAAGAAGGTGCTTCTGCATGTCAACCTGTATCAGCCATTCGTTACTTAGATGCCTTCTTTACTGCTCTGACTTCCCCTCAACCCCATGTCTCCAAGCCGTGCAGTGCACTCTCCACACTTTTGCCAGAGCTATCTTTCTACGAGAACCCTATTCCCTGCTAGGAAATGATTTCCTGGCTTTCCACTATCTAAAGAGAAGGTTCAGAGTCCTTCCTTATAAAGTAAGATGTTTAAAGATCTTGTGTGATGGTCTTTAGTTTCCACCATGCCCAATCACAAGCCCTGAGCACCACACCAGGCGCTCAATCAAGACCTCGGGTTTCCCAGGACCTGTGCCTTTAATGCGAAGGGCACTCCCTTCGTCCCCAGCCCCATGACTCAGCTTATTTCTAAAGCCCCAACAATATTTTCTGAAGTACAAAGCACAGATCATCTCCACCAAAGTTTTCCAGTGCACGTTAGGAAATAAGTAATTTAATTCTCCAGGATCGCTACATCATTTTACCTCTACAGTCTCTTTTAAATCTAGGTTATTCAGGGAGATGCTTCTGGGAAATCTACAGATGTCAGCCATACTACATAGGTATCTGGCTGCGGGTTCCCTAAGGGCACTCACAGTCTTATTTCAACTAAGTAGACTTGCGATAATGATATAGATGTGGCTTCCTACTAAGTAGCTCTTCCTGACCCCCAGGACCACCATCTAAGCCCTAAGAGAAAATTAAAACAGGGCTTTTCAGGCATCAGAAAAACCGGGTACCGGGCGCCTCCGCGGTTGGCTGTGCTTAGGCTCCGTGGGAGCTGCCACTGCATCGCTCTCCGTGGTAATCCAAGAGTTTAACACTGTCTGGCACTGAGCTTGCGTTCCATCATTCGAGAGCGAGAGGGGCTTGCCCAAGGTCACGCAAAGAACCGCTCAATCCCATCCCGGACGAGATCTGGTAAAAGCATTTACATTATCTCAGTGGGGAGCTCAGGAAGGAAAGAGCGTGTGTCTGCAACCCGTGTGCCAGGTCCCCGGGACGCGGGAAAGGCTGGGGGTGGGGATCAAACTGGACACTGGGAGCCCCGGCTGCCCCAGCCGCCAGAGCCTCTAGAGCTCCAAAACGGCGGGAAGAGTGGAGAGGCTGGGAGCACCCGGGAAAGGGGTGGGGGGGATGTGGACCACGGCCCGGGCACGAAGGAGAGAGGGAGGCGACGGCCCCACGCGGCAAATCCCCCAGGGAGGCCGCCGCCAGAGCCCTGGAGCTCCCGGCCCGGCGCCCGCCACGTGGCACCCGGCGGCGGCGGCGGCGGCT